TCACACTCCTTATTCCTCCAGCCAGTCATCGTCGCGTTCTCCCATCAGGCTCCGCCGTCCTTCCTCTTCAGCCAACTCCCAGTCCCCACTCTCTCAACGGTGCCAGGCTGACCGGTCATCTGCTCGACGTAGGCCATCTCCGGCCTTCCGTCGTCAATCCCAGCCCAAACCTATGATCTGCAGCTCAACTAGCAGAGGAAATAGTCGAGTAGAGGTTTCACTAAAATCTAAAAAAGCAGACAACCATCTGAAAGCTGGGCCCCAGAGAACAGGGAGGCCCTTACAAGGTAAAACGCCTAAATCGACGATGTTGGCCCCAGTTTCCCGGGAGGTCAGTCCAAGCAAGCCTAAATCGGCTTTACATAAGAAGCGAAAGCATCTCATACCCAGTGCACTTTGCGATTGCCCTGACGGGGAGTGCACTGACGACCTCCATCAACTACGAATTGAAGTGCGCCAGCTCACTAATCGTCTTATGGCGACTCCACCTGTGTTTTCTTTTCACTTACACCAACAGATTGACTCAAACGTTAATTTGCCCGGCCGAATCGTGGACCTGGTTGATTCATCTTCTAACTCTCTCATCAACAATCAGATATCTCAGGAACGTGCTAACCTTTTGTTGGCGGAAGCTTGGAGAGCCATTGGTCCAGATGCCTTATCTTCTCTTCTTTCGGCCGTTGATAAAGATTGCCCTCGAGACAGCCTATGCGAGACGACTTCTCGGCCTATAAGTCATCAACAATGCTGGTTTGTTAGGCAGCTTTCCAGTGTAGCCGGCAGGCGAACTCTTCGTTATCTAAAGTCAGTGCCCGGCCCACCTGATACTCTACTTCCAACTGTTCCAAATCCACCTGATACCGAAATATCGTGGCCGCCCTTTCATCTTGTCTGGACGCGTCTTGCTCATGAGCTAATCGGTCTGTCGACTAATCAGGTGGCCGGCTTACTAAAAGGGGAACTGTCTCTTGACGACGAGTGTCTGAAGAAGATCGAGTTGCCTTCAGAACTGATAGTGCCTGTGCAGCGAGATTTGGGACTACATGTGTCGCCTAATTCACAAAGGGTTGAAATTGACTGTCCCACTCAGCATGAAGCTTTAAAGACCTCAGTAAGCTGCCATACATTATTGATTATCCAAATCAGTACGGGCTTAAATTCTCATTTGGTAACCTTGTTATTTTCTTGATATTATATTTTTGGCTTAGCAACTAGATGAGGCTTCAGCCGCTATATTGCTATTGATGGCAATCTTTTTGCCTTTGCTTCGAATTATGATGCGCATTTACCGAATAGGTGTAAAAAGGCCAAGATGGTTTTAGTCTAAGTATGGCCTTTATGTAATTGGACTGGTTTCACTATTGAACCTTGGTTATGGTGTCATGGCGAGCTCGTAGAATGTTTCTCGTCCGGACCGTGCACTTGGTACATTCCAAGGCGTTTCGTCGGCATCGTCAGTAAGCCCTGCCACTTATCGCAAGGCTACACATAGTTAAAGAGGTAGGTAGAATTAATCTCTTGACCAACTGTTTGCTGAAAGTTTGAGGTATCTCTCATCCTGCCTCGTTGAATTCATGTCTGATATCTCCGTATTTCAGTCTGTTTTAACTTCTAACTTGTTTATTCCAGTATAATCCAGTGGGCATAGCGAAGTGCAGTCACTTGACTCACTAGTTTCCTCCCTCACCTATTTCTGTTCTAGAATTTATCATCCGACTTGTTCCTTTAACTCTGTAAACTACTTTGTTCAACCCCTTTATTATTCTCCCCCGACCTCTACAATCAATTTCTTACCCCACTGCCTGCTTGACTTCACTCGGCCTATGCCACCTTATCCATTCTACTCGAGCCGTTATTTCCAATGCTATTCCTCAATTGTTTATTGGCAAGTATAGGGTAGTCTCACCAAGTGGAACTCCAAAGCCCTGATTCTGGTGCTTACTGATATTCCTTTAATGCTATATCCAAACTCTGCGTTTTCCTTCTTTTAAATTCTTAATGTGTATTGGATTAACAACCTTCATAGTCAGACATTTAATTCACCGCCTATCATGATTTAGCTCGTATGCCGCGTGCCGACTGCAATTTTTCTGACCTATGCTACATCTCTCAACTGGATTTGTAATCAACCTGGCTTCACTCTTCTATCCATAATGCAAATTTTCGTTTAATGTAATGAAGGATTAGTAGTTGAATTTTCCCCTAATTATGCTTCCATTGAATTTTAAATAGTCTTGCTTCCAAAAAATTATTATCATCCAGGGCGGACTGCAGTTTCAGCCTCACCTAGATCTCATCGACATCCTCATCAGGAGTCGAACCTGGGTTGTACAGCATATAATCAAGATACTGTAACTACTAGGCAAAGGCAGAAGTGAATTTCAAAGGAGCCTAGACCTTTCCCATTTCAAATTTTTTTGGTAGGATCGGATGTAAAATTCACTGGAATTAGAAGGCCTACTCATAAAATTGTGGTAAAATTTAATTACTAATCCTTAACCTTAAATAAAATATGGTAAATTCAGCTCTTATATAAGATTGATTTGTAGTCTTAAAAACCTGCTTATAAGCGAAGTTAAACCTTTTTCCCGTTTCCTTGGTTCGACTACACTCTTTGAAGTCA